CTCGCCCCGCCACAGCCCCACGGGCCGCCCCGCCTCTCTGCCTCGGCCCGCCGGCCCGCCGCCCCGCGCGCCAGTCCGCCCGAGGAGGCAGGCGCTAACGTGCGCCCCGAGCCCGCGCCGCTACGCCCCGCGCAGGCCCGCGTCCATGTGTGTGTGTGCGCGCGTGTGCGTGTGTGCGCGTGCGTGCGTGCCCGAGTGCCCGCGCAGCCCGCGCAGTGCCCGGTGGTGGTGTACGTGATCTGTGAAAGTGTTTTGTGGTGTCCGCAAGGGTGCGGGGGCCCCGCCGGCCCGTCAGGGGGGCGGGGCGAGTGTTGTGGTCATGATTCAAGTGGGTGATGGCGCTGGCGCCATAAGTGAAATCAAGTGAATACCAAGTGCAAGTGAGTGAATATTTGTGAAAGTGCAAAATAAAATGAAGTCGCAACGACAGCAAGCCATGGTGGATTACAAGCCCCGCGAGGAGCTGGTGGGCAAGAGGTTCTTGTCCGTCAGCGGCGCCCTCGCGGACCTGCTGCAAACGGATACAGCGCAGTGGGGCTGGCGCTCCGGGTTCATCCGGGCCGCGAGCCACCTGCGCAGCGACGACGAGGACCTGCAGGTGAGTTTCTCTCGCGCCTTTACGGTACCCTGGCGGTGCCCTGGCGGTACGCGAGGCCTGCCGCCCGACAAAGCTCTGCATAATACATCAGAGCCGTCATTAGACGTCATCAGCGAGTGTGGGGAGGGGGGGGGGGGGGTCTTACGGTCTTGTGAAAGGGACTGCGAGTGACCGAAAGCAGGAGCGGGCGTGTATAGGGAAGAGTTAACCGCAGCTGTGAGAACTCTCACTTCAGTGTGTTCGTGTCCATCTGACTGGCTGCAGCAGCACCAGCAGATTCTTCTGCTATCAATCCGTTTGGCGCCAACCATTCGCGCGCCGTACGTGGCGCTTCCCTCCTCCTCCTCCCCCCCCCCCATCGCTCTCTCGCTCTCTTTCCCCTATCTCTCTCTCCCTCTTTCTCGTACGGTTCGTCTTGGGTTTCCCTTGCACTACGCTCACGCTCGCACCACCACGTAGCCTACAGCAGCGCCAGTGCGCTCGCTCAGCCCGCTCAGCCCGCTCAGCCCCAGCCTGTCGGCCGTCAGGAGTTCCCTCTGCCGCAGCCTTGGGAGTTCTGCACGCCAGGCCGCGAGGCGCCGCGAGGCACCGCGAGGCACCGCGAGGCACACACACTGGAAAATAAAGTCTCCACATTCAGCAGATGGCTATATTGCTTTTAAAAACAAGCCCGTGTCATCACGGATTTGTTTGTCTCTCTTATTTACCAGTACCAGTACATAAGGGTGACAAAAAACCCAGAGTGACATGTTTGCCAGATGAAACAAACAAACAAACAAATAACCATGGCATTATTGTTTTGAAGACATTTTCTTACAGTGTATAAGCCCACCTCCATTCTGAGCTGCGCATAGTCGAGTGAAGCTAGCGTCCTCGACACTCTCTCCAACGACTGACGTGCGAGCGCCACCCAGCTCACATCAGCTCACGTCGCCCAGCCGGTCCGGTCGCCTAGCCGGTCGCCCAGCCGGTCGCCTAGCTAGTCGCCTAGCTGGTCGCCTAGTTGGTCGCCAAGCCAATCCCCTAGCTATTCTCCTAGGTGGTCGCCTTGCTGGTCGCGTAGTCGGTCGCCTAGCTGGTCGCCTATCATGTTGCCTAGCTGGTCGCCTATCATGTTGCCTAGCTGGTCGCCTATCATGTTGCCTAGCTGGTCGCCTATCATGTTGCCTAGCTGATCGCCCAGCTGTGGGCCTAGTTGGCGCCTAGCTGGTCGGCCGCCCAGCCCGTATCCCGGGCCGCAGTAGCATGGCCTAACTCCCGAGGAGGGCGTCCTTGGCGGGCGGGCCGAAGCGGCCCGAGCACGGACTCGTCCTTGTGCGTGGTTCGTGTCGTGTCGTCACCAGCTGCACCACCACTGCGCGACTGCCATGGCCAGGACCAGGACCAAGAATGCACGCCGGCGATGGCGTCATGTTAGCGTGTTCAAGTAAAATCAGGTCGAAAGTTTTGGCTGAAACGTGTCAATCAGCCCAGCCGTGGCAATTGGACACCCTCGCCCCACTTCCCCACGTCCCTCTATAGCTTCACCCGCCCCGCCCTGCCCCTTGTTTTGCCGATTCGTAAAACTGCGTCACAAGCAGGGAAGTGGGCCACGAAGATGAGTCGCTGCCATGTGAAGGTGAAGAAGTGCAGTGAGGGACGTCGCTTATGAGCGTGCAAGCCGGGGGGGGGGGGGGCAAAAATCAATACTCAGGTACTGTAAAGGTACCGAGCTGAGTACCTGGGTGCTCCACCGGTCCGGTATGCTATGGTTCAGTACCTAGGTATACCCTTTAGGTACCTAAAGTTTAACGTATTCCCTCCGATAATTGTCGACTTAAGTAAGACGGGGTGAAGGTAATTTCGAGAACAAAGTCAAGCCCCTCCTGCTTGGCCTCCCACCCAAATTCCCTACTGGTACCATTCTTGTCATGCACTCGCTTTCTTGCGGGTGTATAAACAGGTGCACCACCTGCAACGCGTACAGAGTACGATCTCGCCTTTCGTTTCCGGGCGGAACACAAAACCGTCTGTCCGGCCAGAAAAGTGTTCCTTTTACTAATAGTACCTTGAAAACTAGTAAATCTTTCACATTCCATAGGTGCCTGATGAGCCCGACGCACTTCTGCAGTTATGCACTGTGCGGCACGCAGACGTGTGTGCAGGTGTGGGCTGGCTTGCCCTTCACCCCTGACCACGGCGGCGCCTTACAGACCGAGCGAGTAGGCAACCCACCCACGCAACGGAATGCGGTACAGAATTACTGCAAAAGTTCATCAGCCACCTGGTATGATTAAAAGCAAATTCCGTTAATACAACGAACTTTAACTTGAAATGAAAGGAATTGCTTATGGATGATCATGGGCGAAATTTCTGAAACTTGATTCTGAGAATCAACGGAACCGTTTTAGGGCATTATTGGTGCAGTGAAAGTTACACTTCTCTGGATGCAGTTAAATTATTATCTATAACCATTTGTTGTAAGAACCAAAATCAAGGGTGTGTCCACACTACATGCTCGAAGAACACATCTGTGGGACAGTTCCACCCTTTCAACAGTGGGGACTCGGCTGTTGAATGGATTCAACGGCAGGAATTCGTGGAAATTCGTGCCGACCCACTGTTGCAAACCACTGTTGGATTTTCAGAGTGGTGCGGTTATGCTGCCGTAGTTCATCATTTCCCTGTGTGCAGGTACCTACCTACGTAACCCCCAGCCACCTCCAGTCCCGACGCACCTGGCGAAGATGGTGGCGTCGTCGGTCGCGGCTGTATGACGGGGCTCGCGGCGGGCTCGGCCGAGGCGCGGCCGGGCTCGGCATGGGCTCAACCCGTCCCGTTTTCAGGGGCCACGCCCCACCCAGCCCCGCCCC